CCGAAGGGAGGGCCGGAGGCCCGGGGAACGGGACGACGGACAGAAATACGGCGAGACGTAGCACGCGTCTGGTGAGGCTCGGCGACTGCCGGCTGGTGTGTGAGTGTGTGTGTGTGTCTGTGTGTGTGTCTGTATTTGCATGTGTGGGCGTCCAACAACTGGCAGAAGAAGGGGGCAGGGGGTGGGTGTGTTGGCTGGTGGGGCGGTGTGTGCACGTGGGGAGGGATGTGTGTGCTGTGTGTGTGTGCACACAGGGCTGTGTGCAGGGGTGGACCCCAGCGCTCTGTCTGTACACACACACACACACACACACTCACTCTGTCTGTGGCCCAGCAGCGTTTCCTCAGAATGTTTGGAGGGGAGAGAGCTGATGTGTTTGCACGCGTGTGCACTTGGGAGCTCGTGTCCGGGGCAGAGGCAGCCAGGCCGTGGTGTGTCAGGCGTGCCCAAGGAGGGTGGCGCTGACCCCCCCTGGGCTCAGCCAGGGAAAACTGTGGTACCTGAGGGCACTTTCTGTGGCTCTGGGCTCCCTGCTGTGCCTGTTCCACCTGGACCCCTCCCACCCCAGTGGCTGCCTCTGGAGGGCAGGTCAGTCCCCTTGCCGGGACACAGGTGTTGTGTGTCCGGGCTGCAGTGGTTGCTGTCAGCAGGCCAGGCTGTTGGAGAAGAGAAGCTGGGGGGAGGGGGGTGCTGGCAGCACCTGGAGGAGTGTGGCGGAAGCTGCAGGCCCCAGGCGGCCAGATTTAGTTACCGAGGGAAGAGGGACGTTTCCAGATGGGGAGCTGCATCATGGGGGGGGGTGGGGCAGGGAGCACCGCCTGGTGTACGGTGTGCGTGCCTGGCTCACACACCTGTTCTCGGGGTCTGTGGGCACCTGTGGGACGTGTCATGTCTCGGCCATCAGTAGGGCATGGGGGCCTGCACACGTGTGTAAGTGTGTGTCCGAGGAAAGGAATGAGTGCAGACGCACACGCAGACACTGTCTGCAAACGCCTGTCCCGAATGAGCTGTGTTCGTGGGTGGGGACCTTTGGGCCATCGGTCCCCGGACAGGAAGAAAGAGGAGAAATTGAAGTGGGTATCAGGGAGCAGTGGGTGCGACGTCAGTGAGAACCTCTGGGTGTGACATCAGCTCTAGGTTGCCAGTGACGTCACTGGGACAGCAGTGTGATGGGTCACCCCCAAGGGCCGGAGTGTGTGATGTCAGTGGGAGGGTGAGGGAGGTGTCACCGTGAGGGTGTGTGATGAAGTGTGGTTATGTGCCCTACGTAGTGAGGGGGAAGAAGGCGAGAGGGATGGAGCCTGGGAGTGAGCAGTCCCTCCCAAGAGGCCCCATTTCCTGAGTGGATGTGGGACCCTTTTCCTTAGGGCCTGTCCCCCTTATAGCGCATTGCCACTGCTTCCCCGACTTACGGTGTCCCCTCTCCCACCCCCCAACCTGGGACCCTGCCAGTCCTGTTCTCCACCCCATCCTAACCATGCCGCACAGACCCTTGGGTGAGTGTGTACTGGTGGGCGAGTATGTGTGTGTAAGTGTATGTAACAACAGAAAACTGCCACCACCAGAGAGCCAGAGACCTTTGGTTCTAATCCCACGTTGCCACTCTGGGTTTTCTGATTTAGGCATTGCCTTCACCTCTCTGGGCCTGTTTCTCATCTGTCACCGGGAAGGGGGAGCGGTGGTTAGGGAGGTGAGAGGGGATTACAGGCTTCCAGGGGCTGGGTACCCAGCACATGGTGGGGGCTCAGTCCATGTGAGCCCATGAGGGCGTCCTGTCCCCTAGCCCAGAGCAGCTGCTCCTCTGTTTTGCTTTAAGTCTAACTTTGTAAAGAATGTTCTTTTCTCTCCTTGGATCCTCACAGCAGTCCTGTGAGGCTGGCAGGCTGGCTGCAGTTTTGTGGCCATTTGACAGATGAACAAACTGAGGTCAGAGGGTAAAGTAAGCTGTTGTTGCTTCATTCTTTAGTGAGAACTCCCCCACCCAGTGGACGCAGGGAAACCCATCTGATTGGTAGGTCACTGCCCCACAGGGCACTCTCATTGAATGGAGGGACAGGGAGCTCCGTGCAGTGGGGGCGGGGATTGGGATGTGCCAGAGTGAGGGCCCCAAGCCTGAGAGGTCAGTGGCTGCAGTGGAGGCTGCTTCCTGACTCCCAGTCCAGCGCTGGCTTGTTCTGCCCTCCCCACGACATTACGAGATGGAGCGGGTGATAGAAATGGGTACCTCCAGCTGCCAGGCCTTCCCTGGTGGGGTTGGCCCTTGGTGGTCATTGGGGGCTCTGTACCTGCTCCCAGTGTGGCTCCCTTGTCCCCTGGGGTCTGGCAGTGTGTCTGCTGTGGAAGCAGAACTAGTTCTGGTGACACCTCTGCTGTGTCCTGGCCGTGTATGACACATGGGGATCAGCCTCTCCTGTCTGTCTCCAAGGCGGTGGCTGCTTGCCTTGAGGCATCGATGAGCCAGTGGGAGAGGGTGGCATCCCTGGGCAGGGTCAGGATGGCACCCATCACAGTTACTCTCCCTGCTTCAGCTCCAATGCCCCTGGGCCGGGTCCTCCCTCCTGCCACCCCGCCCCCCGCCAAATCTGCTGTGACAGTGTGCCGTGCAGAGCAGACAGCCGGGAAGCAGGATTGCCTTGAAGCCCAAGTCTCCTTAACAAGTCAGGCCTCTTCGCGGACAGCATTAATAGTCCAGAAGGTTAACTCAATCCTCTGCCTCCTGCTGTCCCAGCCCAATCCCCTATTAAATTAACCTTCTCCTGGCTCAGTTAGCACCTGGGGCAGAGGCACAGCCATTAGTACTGGGGATGGTGGCTGGGGGCTTGGAATAATAAAGCCCCTGTCTTCTCCCCCCAGTTCTTCAGACAGTCCCCAGGGAGACCCCAGAGAGCCCCTGAGGACTGACGCTGGGCAAGCTTGCTTACACCTGGGGTGCCAGAGGAAGGGCGCGGGCTGCCTGATGCTGCCGACAGCAATAATTATAGTGATAATAATAATAATGATATTAGCTCATATTCACTGAGCCTCTACTGAGAGCTGGGCCTGGCGTGAAGCTCTTTATAAGGGGTAGTCGTTTAATCCCGCAAAGCCTTCTGCAGTTAGAGCTATTATTATTTCACATTTCCAGGTAAGAAACAGAGAGGTTCCAGACTGGCTCAGGGCCACACAGCAGTGGAACCAGGAAGCCCCACAGGTGGACTCTTTGCATCATTAACTGTTAACTGATGAACTCCTTTGCCAGGGGACCCTGGGCATCGTGGGGCGCCCCTCTTGCTGGGAGACCTCTCAGGGCCTTGTTTTGCTTATCTGTAAATGGGGACAGTGACCTGCCACAAGGAAGCAGTGGGTGTGGCTGCAGAGATAGAGGGGTAGAAAAGCTCCTGGGTCTCAGTCCCAGCTCCCCGCTCCTCCTGCGCCCCCTCCCTCTGCAGTGACCTGTGACATTCCCAAGGGCAGCTCCTTGCTCCCTGCTTCTCTCACAGTGCCTGGAACAGCACAGGGCACATAGTAGGTGCTCCGTAGGGGCTCCCCTGGGTGACGAAGGGGTTGCTGCTCCAGGACCAGTATCTTCCCCAGGCCTGAGTCTGTCATGGCCTTGGCTGGGGGTCCCCAGACCCCTCTGCCACACTCCCCCGTCTTGCTTGTGGAAGAGCAGAGGCTCAGGGTCCAAATTCTGCCTCTTTTCCTCCTTGACATGTGTCCTGGGTAAGAAAATTAACTTCCAGAAGGTTCTGTCTCCTCAGTGTAAAGTGGGGGTAATGGTACCGAGTTCTTAACTCTCTCAGGTCGGTTACATAAGAGAATGGCAAGTGTGAAGTATTGTGTCTGGCACATAGTAGGTGTCAAGTAGATGGTTTCCCTCCCCCTTCCCATCTGTCTCCTGTGTTCGTTCCTGGTTCCCTGGAGTGGGGCTTGGGTTGTGTGTGTGTGTGTGTATGTGTGTGTCCGTCCTTCTCTCTCTTTTCAGCCTCTACTTTCACTCCGTGAAATGCATAGAAACTGTTTCCTGGAGCCAGGCTGGGGGGTCTGAGGAAGTGTGAGAAGGGCCTGGGTGCCGGGTCTGCTCCAGCTGGAGTGTGCAGACGGGCTGGTGTGGAGGCAGGGCATGTCTTTGTGTGTTCGTATCTGTGCATGTGTGCAGGCTGGTCCCTACCTCTTTCAGGGGGAGGCAGGGAGCCATTCCTACGGGCCCAGCCTCGTGGCTCAAGCCTGACTCAGTTTCCCTCCCTGGCCTATCTTTATCTTGTCTCTTCCCCCAAATCCTCTCTGAATCCTGGAGAGACACAGGCTGTGGGGTCAGCCGGCCTGCCACCCTCCCTTCCCTGCCCTTCTCACTACCTGGGGGATTCCCTGTCTGTCTCTCTCATGGCATGGCAGCTCCAAACAGGTAGAGACTAGCAGGTCCTCAAAAAATACTTGTTGAACAGCTTCCTTTCATCTGTGTGCTATTGAGGATGGGTTGATGTATTTTGCATTTAGTCCGTGCACACACGCACACAGTTATAAGCACGTTTCACTCAAGGATAACTGCTGGACTCAGACGGGAACCCTCAGGGATGAGCCCCGGTTCTGAGCAGACAGAAAACATGTGGACCATCTGCCAGGTGCTCAGCATGGGGCCTGCACACAGTAGGGCTTGCTGACAGGCGATACCCATTGGTCTGTGACCCTACTGACTAGGGGCTGGTGCTGAGCCAACCTTATAAGCAGGGCTGGAGAGGTCAGAACGACTTCTGCTCAGACATCAGAACCCCCATGACTGCACACCTGCTACGTGCCAGGCACGGGGCGAAACACTCTCTATTATCTTGTTTAATTTTGGCTGGAGGATTGTGGAAGAGGTCCAGCCGGCCTCTGGGTGGGGGCATGCCAGGTGGAGACCATGTGAGCCAAGGTCCGGAGGTAGGAAAACCCGGAGTGGATTTTGGGAAGATGATTCTGGACATGTGGTTTGGGGATCAACCACTCAACAACCTAAACAACTTTAAAATCTGGGCTAAGAAATCCAGAGTTGTCCTTTTTGTCAGAGAGTGCCCGAGTCTCTGGGTGTTTTTTAAAATGCAGATTCCTGGGCCCTGCCTCCTGAGATTAGGGTCGATACGGAGCCCGGGAACCTGCATTTTAAGTGCATTTCCAGAAGATGAATGCCCAGGTTTGCTGGGTGCGTGGCAGCGGAGGGGGCTGCTGCATGTTCTTGGGGATCTTCTGGACTCCTCCCACACACCCCGGGAGCAGCAAGGGCGTACCGTTTTCCAGAAGAGCCTGAGCTCAGAGAAGTGAGGCGTCTTCCCTTGGGTGACACAGCAGCAAGACCGAGGCCGATACTGACTAATAATCTTCCTGTTCACTGACTGCTGTTCTAAGCCCGCTCAAGGAGCCTCTCATTAAATCCTCAGAACCACCCTCTACATCATTCCTGTTGCACAGAGGAGGCAGCGTGTGCGGTCAGGGCTTCAAGTCCGCACCACTGGTGAAGGCGTGAAGTGCAGTGGGCGTGAAGTGAGGCTGGAGAGGGCCTGCCCCAGCATTTTGGACGGAGCAATGCCCTCCCTCTCCCTTCCTTTGGTGTGAGGGAGCGGGTGGAGCTGAGCCTGCGGTTGTGCGTGTGAGCAGAGGCCAGAGGCGGGGGTGGAGGGGGGAGCAGAGAAGCCTGGAGGACGTTGGAGAGCCAGGAAGGCGTCCCGGAGGCGGCGGCGACGCAGAGTCGCGTAGCGGTGGCCCGAGGCTCATCCGGTGGGCGCTCTGACCGAGGCAGGTCCGGGTCTGGCGGGCGGCGGGTGTGTCCTCCCCAGTGCGCGTCAGGGACTGGCCGACGCGGGGCGCCCGGGCGCAGCCCCCGGCTGGGCATGTGCG